GAAAGAAAAATAGATCCTTCACATGTAAATAAGAGAAGAATTTGGATTGAGTAATGTAAAATATTTCCTTAAACTATACATTGCTAAAGATTTATTGTAAAAGAGTCCTAGTCAGTATGCTTAAATAGGTAAGTCTTAAATAGGTAACTCCAACTTTAGTAACCCCAGAATAGGCACAGATGAAAAAGAATCAAGATAAAAAATTCGCTTCACCGGGAATGAAGATAAAAACCAAATGCAAATTAATTTAAAAAAATGAAGCCTTTAGTTCAACATAATATCTTTAACTATCATGCTTTGTATCAGCAGGGCAGTCTAAGGCAACCAGAGTAATAATAAACACAACATAGCTATTATAAACTTAGCATACTGATAAAAAAGCGTCACTGAGAAGATAATTTAATATATTGGGACTATTAAAACGGACTCTAAAGCGAATTCCTTCGGTCTTTAAGCAGTTTGGACAATAAAAAAGGATTTTAAAGCACAAATTAATGAGGCTTAGACTAACCAGCTATCATTTTTCCAGTAGTCCTGATAACGGTGGATCGAGGTGGAATTAAGGATTGGTGTGCATACTTGTCATATTTGGGGCCTGATAGCTGGGCGTTGAAGATATCGGCGTGGTAAACAATAAAAGTCTTTACAACCTCATTGACACTAGATTGATATTGCACTTGGTCCAGTTCAGCAGGTACTGGCATTAGGGTAGGTCCAAAACAGATGGCCAGGTTGTAGGGGTCCATCATATTCTCGTCTGAATACTCGGCAAGACTGGAGAAGTATGAAAATAAACACAAATAAGATTCAAAAACATGGGGAGTTAAAAATAAATAGGTAAAAATTAGTTCATTACGGTTTTCAGGAATAATAAAATCTTACTCAAATAAGCTATATTTCTGATTGAGAATTGTTTAAGACTTTTGTTGATATAGTACTATGACTTAAATATTGATAAAATAAATTTTAATAAAAAATGCAAAGTTATTTGCCTCAATACTGATGCGAGCTAATAATGAGACATTTCATCTTAGTGATCTACCGACTTTTTGTACAAATTCGATAATGAAGTTTACTTGGAAAAACAAAAGC